GATGCCTCCAAATTCCGGTGGTCCACGTCTTAGTTTCCTAGCTAATGAAAGAGTAAAAGGGAAAAATACTAATAAAAAGGTATGGGTGAACATTTCAGAGCACATTTATTCATAAAAAATTTCAAAATTCAGTTAAAAATTCATGTTTAAAAGATCAAAAATGGAATTTAAGAGCGACATACTCCTGAGAGCATCCATCCAAAAATGGTGCTTTGCGCGATAAAGAGACCAAACGTACTTGGGAGCATACCCGGCAGTACGATGTCTGGGTATACGTCGGCTCCCAGTACTAAGCGAATCGGTGTATAAAAGTTTGGATCCGCTAATCGTATGCGCGTATACGCTGTCGCTACTGATGGATCGACGCTGCTAGTGGGGCTAACACGAACGTAATTTTTTATCATTGTGGCGTGGATAGCCAACCTGGTGTTCTGGCCGTGTTTTCCCCTCAGACGCAGTAGACAGCCACGTTGGGTTCCGAAATTTGAAACGTCAAGCCTGAGTTCGACCGCTAAATCTGTTGAAATTATCGAAGTCGGAGAGCATACGTCGATTAACGCGCGTATAAGGTGCAGCCGTCCACGATCATGTATTTTTACCACGACCGTAGGAGCAATAGACGTGACCGGTCGTAACGCTTGGGTTTCGCGTGCGAGTCGACCCGCTCGAAATGCGATGGGTAGCTGGCGAGACCTCGTCTCCAGCGCGTTCGGACTCGTCGTCACTAGCAACTTGCTGGCTCCATGGTCTCGTGTCGACCGGCTGAGGAGGCTCGGACACTTCCTCAATAGCAACTTGCTCGCTCCATGGTCGTGTATCAATCGGCTGAAGGGGTTCGGATTCGTCATCCATGTGCAGCGTTGTGTGGTGTTTTTCGCGGCATCGACGACATCTTTCTTCGCTCGTGCACTCGTCAGACCGATGCTCCATGGACAGGCAGTTTCCGTAGAAGCGACCAATCAGTGCCTCCCTCAGTCTCTCTTCGGGAGTTTTACCGCGGAATGATGGACAGAGCCGTATCGGATGCATACCTTGGCATAAACGGCACGCAAGAGCAAAGCGGTTCGATTGTTGCTCGGCCTTCTTTCTCATCGAGGTGAAGCGAGTCATCGTTGATGTCTGAAATCATTATTTTTTCCCTTTTGTGTATATTTGGCTATATAGATATACGTACTTGTATATATATGTATATTATGGTTGGGTGGCGAGTAGCAAAGAAACTTAATTATATGTGGTTATTGTAAATTTCGTGATTTATATGTTCAGATATTTTATGATACGGGTGGTCTCAGCTTCATATATCACTATTTTGTGATAGTGTATAGTGTGCATAATCTTGCATGAGTATATTGCATAAAGGGTGTGGGGCACCTCATGTTAGTGTATCGATACATTGTTATCGACTTAAGATTCTTTCCCCACATCCGTGAGCTGTCATTATTAATTTGTGAATGTTTGCGTTGCATGGCCTGCCACCCCATGTAAACAAAAAAAGTTGGCCTTTATTAGCGAAAAAATGAGATTTTGCAGCAAAAGAAGCTAGATGCAGTCATCCCCCGCCTATCAGTTCTGAAGGCCCCTCGGGAAAACGTGGATGGATTTGTTAAATACGGTAGGATTAGCTCCATCGGTTTCGTTGTGAAGCTTCTTCACATTCACATCAATCATATCATGGTGGGCTTACAAATGTTCAGCAGATGCATCGGCTGGATTTATTCATATATTCACCTGGATTATTTACCTCCCTCAATATTTGTTTGTGTAAAACATTGCTATTGTGTCTTGTTTAATAAAAAGAATAGTGGAAATTGTGATTTGCTTTTAAAGTTAGCGGTGGTGGTTGGAGGCCGATGTTTGTTGACACAGGCCACACCGCTGGTATTAGCAAAATGGTAATTCTCTAGGGTGGGGTAACAACCCCTAAAAAAGGTGCGGAAAAGTCGGCAGGGGTACCAAACGACGCGTTTCGGCCCCCCTAATAACAATCCGGAGGGGGGCAACTAATATTATTAACCATTTAAAAGTTATGAACAAAAAACTTTTGTTAAATTTCGTTGTTTTCTATGGGCAATTACACCTACAAAGATTCACTAAATCACCTGTTCTCACTTTTTAAACACTATTAAAATATATAATTTAACTTATTTATTAAAGAAACACATAGTTTTATCAACCTAAGATAGATTATAAAATCGCGCGATTTTTTATTAAAAATTTTCGCCTGCGTCGCTTTTTCCATAAAAATCAATACTTCGATAAATAATGAAAATTTTTAATAAAAAATCGCGCGATTTTTTACTAAAAATTTTCGCCTGCGGCGCTTTTTCTATAAAAATAAATACTTCGATAAATAATGAAAATTTTTAATAAAAAATCGCGCGATGGTATAGCGAAATTTGCTATTATATTTTGGTTACAATATCTTATTTAGATGAAAGTAAAAAGAAGAAGAAGAAGTGTATAGTGTAAACTGAGTATAATAACGCAAATGAAATGTGAAATAAAGTGGCAATACCAGCGATTTGAGGTTATAATAATTTTAGCAGGCGCAAAGTTTGTTTACTCTGTTTTATTAACGAAATATATAAAATAAAAGTGAATAAATGATTTGGTTTGCATAAAATAATAACCGGAAACGTTTTAGTAGTGTTTTAAAAGTGGAAACTGTTGATTTAGTGCATTTTTGACGTGGTAATTGCTCATAGAAAACAACGAAATTTAACAAAAGTTTTTTGTTCATAACTTTTAAATGGTTAATAATATTATCTCCCCCCTCCGAATTGTTATTAGGGGGGCCGAAACGCGTCGTTTGGTACCCCTCCCGACTTTTCCGCACCTTTTTTAGGGGTTGTTACCCCACCCTAGAGAATTACCAGCAAAATTAATAAAATTAGTTCTGATTGCAGTGGCAGGAACGTTAAAGGTAAATGTGAAGTATTCAACATCTACGGGCGCCCGACATACATATGTATATACCAGTTCCTCACATTGTTTGTCGTGTTTTCTTGGTTTATCTCGGGCATTATCGGAAACGATCTGGATCATTCTTATTGTTTTTATATTACTAGCATGAGGAAAAAACATTTTTTAATTGAACTAACATGACCGGGTAAAAGGCACATTGCCACGGAATAATATTTATTTAAATCATGATTAACATAGAGGTCCTTTGCAAGTTGAAATGACCAAATGCCAAAATATCTGTTTGGGTATACATTCATTTGTTAGTGTTATCAAACCGTGCTGCAAATTGTTAGTGAAATAAGGGAATCGGCACGGATCCTAAATTGATTCAGTAGTGCGATTCCCATTTTTCTTAACGACCGCTATTCGTTATTGATAATGAACGACGTTTGTAGCTTGCAGTAGCGAATAGGATATTCTCAAAAACACGCTTAACGACAGAATTCGTTAGTCATGTCGATAAAGAAGTTTACGACGATTGTCGTTAATTACAAAGCCAAATATGGCAATATTGACGTTTGACACTCAATATTTAAAAGAAACTTGTTATTGTTGCGCGTATTATTGTGTCGGGATTGTTGTTTGTGAATACAATATAAAAAAAAAGAAGAGCAGGAGCTACTACGGAGCAGTACCATAGGATGCTGGACTGCTTATTTGGCAATAACGGCTTCGTGCAAGGCGAATTTAATAAGGGGGTATAAGCCGTATATAAGTAAAAAATTACAAATTATACGCACAATTACAGTATGAATTACAACAAACACATAATTTTGACATTATGCTTTCCACGTCTAAAAATTCAGCTTTGGGTCTAGTTTTCGACGTAAGGGTACTTGAAAATTTCCTTAAATGTAAAGTGTTTTTATAAATAACTCCAACAAAGTCCGTTAAAGTCATTTTACCAAACTTTTTCACGTGACTATTTTTTAATATAACCTTCACTATAAAAAATAGTCATGTTAAACATTTTATTAAAACAACACTAAAGCTGATTTATTTACAAACAAGTTAAAATTGAAGCAAATGCTCTAGTATCGTTATCTCGAAAACTGGAGCCAATCTGACAAAATTTAGAATGCCCCAATTAAGTGAGATCAACTTTCTAAGCCTTTGCCAATGTTTTCAACTTGCACAGTGTAATAAATAAAAGGAACAATAATAAAAAGCACATCTATATGTGATAAATTTTTATTTATTAGTTATTTTTTATTATAATTTACCGATGAATTGGGCCTAATTTTTCTCAATAAAAACTTGAAACAATTTTATCGGTAGGCTTTTCAACGAAAAATATTCGTAGCTAGGTTATCGACAAATTTCGTTAGACAACTGTCAAAACTACCGACAATATTCGCTAAAAGCGTGCTTGAGAATTGCAGTTAACGAAACTTGTCGGAATCGTTAGCTAACGATACGAATATTGTCGTTAAGAAAAATGGGAATCGCACTACAGATCTCCATTAGGATCGTATTGATTTTGCATAATTTGCGTGAGAAATTGTATCCGATTCTCATTGCCTAAGAAAACACAGCTATTTTCATTTTGTGTGTTCATTGTTTCTATTTTTTGCTTCAGCCGAGTAGCCCGTGAACAGTAGATGACGCCATTAGCACCTTCAATGTTGCTGCTAATTTGGTCGCCAGGGGAGAAGTTCGCGGTGAATGTCTCTGATATTCACAGCTGTGGTGGTACGAGTGATGGAAAATCGCATTTAGTACATAATTTGCGTAGAAACCTTGACTGCGTATATGAACAAAAATATTCCAGCGTTGACTATATAATTGGACTTGAAAATTGAAATTAAACGTTTTTGGCTGCCTACTACATGTACTTCACCCTGCGTAAACCAATTTTTTCTTAAATGTTTTTTTTTTTATAAGAAGTGAATGTATTTAGATGGTCTGAGCAACATTAATTTGTATGGACCCCACGTAAGTTTTTAAAGTTGGGTACACTTGTACCTATTTTTCCATCACTGGGTATCAACAGCGGCACACTTTACAAATTTCCTCAATGGCAAATGTCATTCAATGAAAGGGCATGTGGTCGAACAGTAAGTATCGTAAATGAGTGATTGATAAAATTAGTTTTATTGCTTAAATGTGTTCTTCTAAATCGTTTTCTTTGTTTTTCAGATTGTTCAGGTTGCAGCCGGGCATTATTTGAATACGGGCCTGCAACATCCAGTGTCTAAAACCGTATATCCGATTAAAGCATTAGAGGATACATCAGAGGCGTGATGAAAAAAAAAACGTGCGAGTCATTTTACAGGGACTCTATCATGGACGGTTTCGTTTTCGCCCAAAGACAAGTTCATATCCCCGAAGCGAGTAAAAAAAAAATAGGCAATAAGCAATAAGCCTTGGAAACGGCGATATTACTTTCACGTGAAAATTTGCTACCCGGGGTTAAAAGTCACTGATTGCTAACATCTGCCACTATCGTTTCTTATTATTATTTTAAAATCGTATGGAGCCCTGGGCATCAGCCGGCCCCTATGTTACTCTCGATCGTCTGCTACTATTTAAGTCTCATCGGTGGAGTTATGCCCTATGGCAATGTGGACCGATTAAGTAACTGCCCACAGTTTAGTTAATTATTCGGCAGTTTTCAATTTAATTTGTTGGATGTGTCAGCCAATGGTTGCTTCGTCAATTCAACCTCAGTTTAGTTATATTTTGCGTAACATCTGCAAAAATCACATGTATATGCATATGAATGTATGTCCAACTCATAGTCTACCTAATCAAAATGAATTGCAACAGTCTGAATGAGTTGAACTTCTGAAGTTGGTGACGACTATGTATATGCAAAATACGACCAGGTCAGAAGATGTGCTACAAAAGTACAGTGTAATTAAGTACAATATGGGTTTTTCACACCACCGCATTGCATTCTGTTAAGGGGTATACCCGGCCCGTTCGCAAATTGCTTGCTAGATTCTGGACGAAATCGTATATGGTCCGACACCCCCGTGCCATCTGAATAAGTTACACCGGAATGCTAGGAACAATGTACATAGTAAAGGAGTGCTCACGAAATGGCGTAAACTTCTTGGCTGGCATACTCCGTTGGATCCTCCACAAAGTCATAATTTATCATTGATAAAAAAAAACTGCTTCATTTGCTATGGGGTCATCAATGCCGTGAAAGAAAGTTGTACATGCGTTTTAAAAACTTTCGTAAGACAGAGAGAATTAGGGGACATTTGCTGTTGCAAAGACTAGCGCTTCGCAACATATGACGAGTTTCTCTTGGAGGTGACTTCAAAGCTTTGAAGCGTTGTAATTTCAGTTGTCAGGCCCTTGATACATATTATCGTTTTTCCTAACAGCCATGATCATTGCTTTAACGCACTGCTACTAACGACGTAGGAGCGACTTACAATTCACAATGTCATAAAGCGGATTTATTTATTTGATGTCAGCGTTCCTGTGGTAGCTGCTCGTGGATACCTGGTATTTTGTTCCGGAATTCTGTGAGTACCTAAAACCTTTTTACCTTAACACAAAAAAGGGCACATGTTAGAAAATATAATACCTTTTCAACCGTTTTCATTGGCGAAAGTTGCAAAATACACATGTGCATACAGATTTTAAATGCAGTTAAGGGTGACAGTTTGATAGCTAATGAACTTAACATTTTGCATCTGTTGGCCATAATGATTTTGAAGACCTTTGCAAAATGAAAGTTTATGTTACAACTTTGAACGTAACGTCCCAACCTTTCACTTACTGGGTGGCTAAATTGAATGACATTTTGCGTGGTTACGTTGGGTGATACATTTTCGAATCGTCCACCATTGATGTTTATCAAGTCTGTCCTTTTCTATTACTTTGTATATAAATATAATAGCCCTGTTCACGTACACACTATCCAGTAAATCCAGTACTAATTTTACTGGTTTTTTACTGGATGTCGTTTTCGTACGCAAAAACTTGCAAGAAACTAGCAAAAGAGGGGAAATTGAGAGAGCAAAAATGACAGCTGAACTTGCCAGTTTTACTGGATTTTTACTGGATAAATTTGCTAGTAAGAAAAAACAGCTGATGGCATGATGCTTAATGTAATTCACATTAACAAAATAATTGTTTGTGGTGCTTTTAGAGGTGCAATTGACAAAATAAACCCATTTAAATATATAATAAGATGGAAAATACTAGTTTTCTAAGAAAATTGCATCGAAAAATAACAAATTAATCAGCTGTTCATAAAACTAGCAACTTCTTGCTGGTTTTGCGTTTTCGTACTTTCTTGCATATTTCACTCATTGGGAGTAAATATTGTCTTACTCTCCGAAATTTGGTTACTGGCAAGTTACTGGATATTTTTTGCTGGAGAATACGAAAACACAGCTAATGAGTATATCATTCTTGATGAAAGGCAATGGGGGGTGGATTATGCTAAAATAAATTCGCGCTATGGTTGCGGGTGGAGTTGGCTTGTATGTGCGTGACAACTCTTATCATTTTCGCACTAATCGCTTTCAGAGAAGTTGGTCGACTACCAACTTTCGCTAAACCTTTTATTCAGCCAATCGCCCATGATGATTGTATCATGCACCATTCTTTATAAGATTACTTTCTCCTACTCTTCGTTGGTTCGTTTGTTAACAGTCTAGTCTCTGAGACATATATATATATGCGGTTTGCATGCGTTATTTTCAAGATACCTGCCGTGAGAGCAGTAATGACTTATATTTGTATGATGAAGTGGACTGTATTATGTTGCGAATTGTGGCTGTGGAATAAGTTAGGTTTTTATGAAGTGGAATCGTTGCTTGGTTGCGATTCGCTGTGTTGTTGATCACAGGGGGGTAGTAGAACCAACTTGACTACAGGTCTAGTAACCTGTCCTCTTTCAGTCATGAGATCCACTACTCTCGCCCTATTGTCTGCACCTAGATGGACGTTAACTACCCTTCCAAGTCTCCATTCGTTTGGCGGCAGGTTATCTTCTTTGATGATCACGAGGTCTCCAATTTTCATATTGGCTTGCGGATGTCTCCATTTGTTGCGTTTCTGCAATTCCGTGAGATATTCACTTTTCCACCGTTTGCAAAACGTGTGGTGTAGAGCCTTGAGCCTCTGCCATCGATTTACCACCGAGGCACGATTTTCATCAGCGTCTATTTCTGGGGGAGCTAGTATGTGTCCACCGATTAAGAAGTGGCCTGGAGTCAGTGGCTCCAGGTCTCCTGGTTGATTTGATGAGGGACTCAGGGGTCGAGAGTTGAGACATGATTCAACTCTGCATAATAGGGTTGTAAATTCCTCAAACGTGTATTTGTGGTTGGAAGCAACTTACGTAAAGTGGCTTTTAAAACTTTTAACTCCCGCTTCCCACAGTCCTCCCATGTGGGGAGCTGAGGCGGGAATGAAGTGCCACGCAAGCATTTGGTGAGCGTATTTCGCCAAAGTGTTATCGCGGGCGTCTTTTAAAAAGGCTTTTCTTTCGGCTCTCAGAGCTCTAGAAGCTCCCACAAAATTGGTGCCATTGTCCGAATAGATATTTTTTGGACAGCCTCGTCGTGCAATGAACCTGGCAAACGCTGCTAAAAACGACTGTGTGCTCAGGTCCGAAGTGGCTTCCAAATGGATTGCCTTTGTTGCAAAGCATACAAATAGGCAGACATATCCCTTTGACATGCGACAACCTCGGCCACTATAACTTTTAATGTCAAATGGCCCTGCGAAATCGACTCGCGCATTTGTAAACGCTCGTGAAAATGTCGTTCTTTCCTTGGGAAGAATTCCCATTAACTGAGCTTGCGCGCGTTTGCGATAAATCGTGCAGGCCTTACAGTTATGAATTGTGGACCTAATCAAGTTTTTGACTCTAGGTATCCAGTACTGTGTTCGGATCAAGCGCAGCATGAGCTGATTCTCACCATGCAGGGAAACTTTGTGAATAAACTGAACTATGAGACGGGACAAGGTGCAATTATAAGGCAGGATGATTGGGTGACGCTCGTTGTAGGCGAGATCACGAGATGCTCCCAGCCGTCCACCTGTTCTAATTATACCGTCTTTGTCGATGAATGGGGTAAGGGCCAATACTTCACTTTTAGAACCTACTGATTTTCCTGATACTAATGCTGAATATTCCTCACCATAATGCTACTTCTGGCAAACTAGTGCTAAGCGTTGGGTCGTTGCTTTAATTTCATCAGCTGAAATCAAACAAGATTTCGCTTGAAATGAAGCTTTGGTATTTGGACGGGTTCTTTGGGAGAATCTCATTACGTATGATAGCACTCTCAAAGCTCTTGGAAATTCAGAAAACCTATCAAGAATATCAGTATTACTATCCATTGTTGTTATATGAACTTGTACCCTTTTTTCTTCAACGGTTGTGTTATAGTCCTTTCCTTGAGTGGGCCATTTTGAGTGGTCTTCTTGAAGCCAAGAAGGGCCCTCCCACCACAGGGAATTGTTTATTAACTCTTGCGCCGTAAGTCCTCTGCTGGCTAAATCTGATGGGTTTGACGTTGAGTCCACATGACGCCAGTTTTCTCTTCCTACCTTCTCAATTATTTTGGTCACTCGATGGGCTACAAATGTTGACCATGAGCATGGAGGCTTGCGTATCCAGGCGAGCACGATGGTCGAATCCGTCCACATCTGAGTTGTAAGATGGGCTAAGTTCAGATTATCCGAAATCGATTCCAAAGTTTCAGCCAGTAGGACCGCTCCACAGAGTTCTAGGCGTGGTAAGGAAATCGTTTTAACTGGTGCTACCCTAGTTTTTGATAGTAGCAGGTTCATGAACACTTTGCTGTTTATTTCGACACGCAAGTAAATAGATGCTGCGTATGCCTTCTCTGAGGCGTCACAAAATCCGTGAATTTCGATCTTGGCCACAGGGCAAAAGTGTACCCAACGCGGAATACGAATTATTTCGATACTGCTGTAGCTTTCCCTAAAATTTTTCCAGCGATCTTGGGTCGTAGGTGACACGGTTTCGTCCCACCCTGTTCCTTCCAACCATATATTCTGCATTAAAATTTTCGCTGTAATTACCACTGGTGCAAGCCATCCTAGAAGGTCGAATAATTTGGCAATAGCCGATAGTATTTGTCTTTTAGTATAGCTAACCTGTTCCTCTATTGGTTTGGCCGTAAAGTAAAAATTATCAGAGTGGGCATTCCACCTGATACCCAAAGCTTTGACTGTGCTAGTGTATTCAAAGTCCAAGAAGTCTTCTTTCAGTAGATGGGATTTTGGTATTCCCTTTAATATTTCATTGCAATTGGACGTCCATTTCCTCAAGGGGAACCCAGCAGACTGCAATGCACTTGTTATTTCGGTTTTTGCTGTGATAGCAGCTTCGATGGTGTGACCGCCAGCTAAAACATCGTCAACATACATGTAATTCCTTAATATGTCCGACACCATGGGGTGTGACTGTTCTACATCGTCAGCTAATTGGAGCAGGGTTCTAATCGCGAGGTAAGAGGCGCAATTGACCCCGAAAGTTACTGTATTAAGTTCAAAAAGACTAATTGGTTCTGTTGAGCTTGTGCGGAAAACTGTGCGTTGATACTCGGTATCGGTAGGATTAAGTAAATTTTGGCGATACATCTTTTCGATGTCGCTATTAAAAACATATTTATTTATGGTTCTTTGGGATGTCCTCTAATTCCCAAAAGGACGCTAATTGTTTATCTAGAGTGACTTCGTTGAAGAATGAAACGCATTTATTCGTTGGCCCTGTTGCCTCAGTTTGACCGGTTAGTATCCAGCCGAATACAGTCTCTTGCGCAAGCAGGGTACCTAAAACATTCTCTTGTATGCCACTCAATATTATTTGGGCGTAAATATCGCCGCCTAGTACAAGATCAACTTGCTTATTTATGAAGAATCTCTTGTCAGCTAATACTAGATCCGGAAACGCTTGCTTTGTCATAGCATTGATTTGGCAAGTCAGCAGATTTCCTGTAAGCTGTGGTAGAACCAGGACAGTGCTATCTATGATTATTAAAGGGTCAATCGGTGACCGCAACTGTATTAAACACGCTTCTTTGACTTGGGCTGAAACGGTGTTGTTGATGCCTGACACCTGAGCATTCAAACGTTTGGATGGTAGGTTAATTCGGCGTTTAAGTCTTTCTGTTATGAATGAGAATTCCGAACCGGAGTCTATTAGTGCACGGGCTGAAAAATTAGTATTATTGAAGAAGATATTGACACGTGCCATTCCTAATAGGACCCCCTTGTTCGTGTTGGCAAAACAGGACTTAACGTTATTAACCGGACTTCTATTTCCTTTTTCAGAGTTGCGTCTGGCCTGAGCTTGCGCAGAAGTTGACGGCGTATCATCTGAAAAATTTGGTTGTTGCCTTTGGTTCATGGCTGCTTTTGGCTGAGTTGCTTGATTATGCAGGAGCGTGTGGTGCCTTTGGTGACAGGTGCTGCAGTTAAATGAGCATGTACACCTTGACACAGTATGTCCAAAGGATAAGCAGTTCAAG